TGTTCAATATATGATTTAAAAAACTAAAAAAAAATCATTGAAAATTAAAAAACAAAATTGTTTTAAGTAAAAACATGTATCGAATAAAATTTTCTCCTGTTTTCCTTTCTGCGAAAACATAATATCTGTAATTAAAATTTTCAAAAAATATAACCAAACAAAGTGGGTTTTAAACTAAGTTTTTATAAAAAAGCGGGTTTTACAACAAAATTTAAAATGAATTCCTTAAAAAGAGTTACAAAAATAGCACAAGTAATTTTCGAATACTTTTAACAAAACTTCAAAAGTGTAGAATTTTTTAGGCTTTTAAATTTTTCAAAAGTTTCAAAATAAAAATTCGACTGAAATTCTTCACGGATACATGAGATTTCTAAGTAATTTTTATTCTATTTAATACAACAATCAAATAGAATATTGCAAACTTTCTTGAAAATGATGTTATCACAAAAAAAAAAACAAGATTTTTATATTTTAACAACTCTCAAGAAAGTGCTACTTTTATGTTAAATTTTAATAAAGAGTATAAAAAAATATCACGCAAAATTTTCGCATACATTTTTTTATATCATACAAAAAAGTTGCGGCTCTTAGCCGTTTAGAAATTTTAAAGAAATTTAAGAAATACAAATTTGCACAAGCACATCTGCAAACATATTAAATTTGTAACTAAAAACCGTTTCTTCAAGTAGCTTTTAAATGTAACTGACCTATAACTACAAACAATTTTATCACAAAATGTGTTTGAAAGCAGATACATTTTTTAATGTAATTAAGAAAACGGCCCAAAATCTTATTTTAAAAATTAAAAAATTAAAAATTCTCGTTAAATTAAATTATTAAAAAATTACAGGATTCTTTAAAATAAATTTTCAATTTAATTTGAATTTAAAAAGAGTTTCACAAAAGCTACAGGGTTCTTTACAAAAAAATTTTAAATTAATTTTCTAAAACAATTCTATGTATTTATTTACATATCGCACACCTAGATCTAAACAGCGATCAACTAAAAAACAATTAATGACGATTTTTTTGCATAAATCAATTCATACGACTTACCTCCAACTAATGCAAATAATTTTTCTTCATGATTATATATGTACATTAACTAAAAAACTAGTGTGATGTATATTTGTTTTTTATTTTGCGTTGAATCTTGGCAATTGTTTCAAAATAAACAAAAACTCCCACTAAAACGAACGAAAAAGTTAGTAAAAAAACTTTTTTTCTAATAAAATTGCGTTGTTTTATCGAAAAGGTATTTAAAAAATTGCACGAGAAATTACTGTAAAAAAAATTGATTGAGACTTTTCCTCTTTTACACAAAGGAACTTTCAAAAATATTTTTCTAAAAAAAAAATCAGGAAAACAATTTTTTTTAATTCATTAATTACAAAAGATATATAAAATCTTGAAAAGGGAATTTAAAAAATGCGAAAACTTGCATAAGCATTTTCTTAAATATTATAATTTTGAAAACAAGAACAACACAAGATGAATTTTAGCTGAAAACGACTTAATTAAATAAAAAATCGGTATGTACCAAAATTTTCTAAAAAAAAATTAGTTTAAAAAATTAAAATGTAAATATTTTTAATTTTATATTTGAGAAAATCATCAAATAAGTATTTTTACTTTGTCTAACAAACACACTATTTAAGAAAAATTATTTCATAAAATACAACCTAAAAGTTAAGCGAAAGCATTAATTGGAAAGGACATTTTAAAAAGTAATGCGAAAACTGCCATACCTTTTTTTAATATAAAAGTTATGAAAAAACANTAGTTTAACTCAAGAGCAGGATGGTATGCATCTTCCGGCAAAACTAGGGGATCACACCGATTAATAGAGGCCTTCGGAACATCATCAACGTAAACGAGATCCAAGACCTTTCCAAACTTATTTGGACATATATTTATTTGTTTGAACTAAGAAATCGTTACATAGATTTTCTAAAAGAGGATAATTATAAAAATTAAAATTAAAATTGTTTTAATTTTTTCTTTTGAGAAAACCAACAAACAATTATTCTCAAACTCATAGTCACATCCAAATTTTTTTCAACAGATCTTTTATATCATATTTCCATTCAAAAGCCACTTTCAGTCCTTTGTCGTGCAATAGTCAATGGCAAATAAATAAGCCAGCGCTACAAAGTAAAAGTTGCCGCTACGCAGCTGCCAACAAATATAAAAAAATGCAGCACTGTAAATTCGCCACAAAACAAAAACAATGCACAAGGTGAAGTCTCGTTAAGTTGCCAAAAAGCTAATAGCCAACACTTTCGTGTTAAATGCACGCGATTGATTGCCTTTCCATTCATACCAGAGTACAATTAGCTAAACCGCTGGCAGAAGAAGCCACTTATAGGTGCATGAATTAGCTATTCATGAAGGTATGAATGCACATACATAAATAGTAATGTATATGTAAATATGTATGTGTGTACTTAAAACTCCAAACGCTTGTTAACTAAACATTCTCCTTAGCGGCCATTTTTTCCAATCAATTGGCATTAATTTAAATTTCCACACACGTTCCACTGCCAATACCACTGCTGCTAACACTAAATTTGTACTTGGCGGCTAGGCTCGTGCATGGTAGTTAAAGAAAAAAAAAAACCTAGAAAAACAAGCCACCAAGTGCATTCATTATCCAGTGCTGATGGGGCGAACCTGAGTATACATAGTACGTATAATCATTTGCCTTTCTATAGGCTTAACATAAATATGCATAGTTTGTAGGTATGACTTCTACGCACTGCGGCGTAGGCATCAAACGCGCTTGCGCAGCTATGTATGTACGTGCCGCTCGTAAGTGATGATCTATGTATGGATTAGTCGTCAACATTTTAAAGTAATTCACCATAAAATGTGCTGTGGCTGTCACTAGCGGCATTTTAGTCACTGCCAGCGACCAACGCCTGCCTGCCTCGCCGTGCCTGCTCTCGGCTGGTCGCGTGTATGCCATCTGGCGATCCACTCTTCACTACAATAAAAGCGATAGCGGTAATAGGTTTTTCTATTTCTGTGTTTTTTACCCATCTTTGTTGGTGCGTATAGTATAAGTATATTTTATTAATTTATAGCATTTCCACGCTTTGTGACTGAATTATGTTTGATTCGTTGTTTGAATAACAAATACGAAAAATAATTATTTCCACTTTCAAACCGTTAAGTTCATTGACACAAGCTTATGTTACCGCTATTTCCCAAACTGTACAGTAAATTATTAATAAATAAAAAAAAACAGAAATATTTATGTAGATACCATTGCATTAAAAAAATTGCCTTGGCCATTGAACTATTGCATTTGATAAACTAAGTTTAATTGCAGTACGATAAAAAATAAATTAGCTGCATTTATTTGTGTTAAATTTAATCATGAAAAATAATGCCAGTAACAACCAAATATCATCAAAAATAAAATAAAAGGGATTTACATAGCGGAAATTGTAACATTTTAATACATAGCAATAAAAAAAAGCACTTTTCGCATCTTCGATAAATTAAGATAGTTAAAAGCGCGGATATGTGAGAACCCAAGATGCACTGCTTCCCAAAGTTCTCTTGAATCTCTAAAGCGAGTTCCTAAGCCTGTGTGCCCCCAAGACGCGCTCGGCTTCCGTAATCAATTCTACTTAGAAGAGTCTGATAGTCGAGCTCTTTATTACTAAGGGTTTAACCATTGGAGCATTAACATAAACGTATCATTGTCTAGCCAAGACCTGATAATTCGCAAGTTTCCTCGTCCTCAAGACAGAGCCGGCATTCCGATTCTGCCATAACACCTTTTCGTTGCATATGAAATCGTAGTTGATTTTGGCCCGTTAGGTATCAGTTCCCAGAGAGTAGCCTGATGTAATTACCGCTTAATTAAATGACATCCGATTTATTGAAAGAGTAGTCGAAGAGTCCGGACAGGCTGTGGCCAACTACCGCCACTAATTATCGTTCTCCGTGGGCCATCTGCCCATAGGAATTGCGAGTTTGGTGCTAGGTCCATAGACATCTGCACCGAGTCTGGCTTCCATTTGCCCAACCTTCGCGATCGTATATTTTCATTTGGAACTGTCTGCCAAAGCAGATTTCTTTAGTTATGGAATCAGAATTTCCGAATATTTCTAACCTTGACATCTTCCCAAGATTACCTGCATGAAACGTCTTTGTGTAGTACCAGTCGTTAGATAGTTGAAATTGCAGGCTTTGATATGCGAAGCTAAAATTGTAATCGGAGTTTAAGCAAGTGTTTTCTCTAACTCGCTGGAGGAAAGAAAAACGGTCTGTCTGCTTGGATTTGTGTAGTACTTTACGCCAGCTTCAAGGTACATTTTTCTTGAAACGAAAGCAGTTTAAGGAGTATAGAATTATTTTGCAAGGACCACATTGACCTCAAGTGAAGATCAAATCTTATTCAAATCGCGATTTTATACAAAGAAAAGTTTCTTTACAAAATTCAACAAACTGAATCGGAATACAACTTCAAAACAACAAGCGACGCGTTTACTGAACTCTGTCTTGACGTTGCGAGATTAGATTTTAGTGATTTTAGTAATAGATTAGGGTGGGTTCCCTTGCTCCGTTGGGGGCGTTGTTATTGTTAAATATATTTCCAATGAACTCAGCTAGAACGCTCAGAGCATTGTCTAACTGAATTCCTTCTTTGTTCCTGCTGCTTCTACTGGCAGACCTTTAGCGTTACTGAATAAAATCAACACCACGGCCTACTTTGGCATAGTCTAGAATAATTATTCGTTTCTGGTCCTGCAACGTCTACAGAATTCCTTGTAGGCTATGGTAAGCCTTCTGGCGTGAGTCATAACCGATTTTTACTGTTCAGCTCAAGGGAATCAGCCAAGTACTTTCGGATGTTGCATTTTTGCAAAATAAACAATTTAATATTATTAATCAAATATTCTATGTCAAAAAAACTCTTATCCCTCACCCTTTGCCCATCTACATATTTTCTCATGCAAATATTTTTCTCTCATTTTGTCTTGCAGATATCGACAATGATCCCAATCGCGCTCCACCATGCGACCCCACTGTGTGCGTATTGCCCGATTGCTTCTGCTCTGAGGATGGTACCTCGATTCCCGGTGATTTGCCAGCCAAGGATGTACCCATGATGATCACCATTACATTCGATGATGCCATCAACAACAACAACATTGAATTGTACAAGGAAATCTTCAAGGGACGCAAGAATCCCAATGGTTGTGACATTAAGGCTACCTACTTCATTTCGCACAAATACACCAACTACTCGGCGGTGCAAGAAACATCGCGTAAAGGACACGAAATTGCTGTGCACTCCATAACGTAAGTGTAAAAGAAACCTCTGACCAATAGTAGCAACACTAGCCAACTAGCAAAAATAATTCCATTACTGTCTTAGACAAAAAAAAATCAACCAATAAAATTTGCATTTAAGAAACTGAAATCAGTTAGTAGCTCAACAGTAAATTTTCAGCAATTATTAATTGCCTTTCCTTCCATTTCTTGCACCTTTTCCCTCCCTCTCCACAGACACAACGATGAGGAGCGCTTCTGGTCGAACGCCACCGTCGACGACTGGGCTAAGGAAATGGCTGGCATGCGCATCATTATCGAGAAATACGCCAACATTACTGACAATTCGGTGGTGGGTGTACGGGCGCCATACTTGCGTGTCGGCGGCAACAATCAATTCACAATGATGGAAGAGCAGGCTTTCCTCTATGACTCTACAATCACTGCACCGCTCTCGAATCCACCACTCTGGCCCTACACCATGTACTTCCGCATGCCACATCGTTGCCATGGCAATCTACAAAGCTGCCCAACTCGTTCGCATGCTGTGTGGGAAATGGTCATGAATGAGTTGGATCGTCGTGAAGACCCCGCCAATGATGAATACTTGCCCGGCTGCGCTATGGTTGACTCGTGCTCAAACATTTTGACCGGTGATCAATTCTATAACTTCCTCAATCACAATTTCGATCGGCACTACGATCAGAATCGTGCACCATTGGGTTTGTATTTCCATGCTGCTTGGTTGAAGAACAATCCAGAATTCTTGGATGCCTTCCTCTATTGGATCGATGAGATCTTGGCCAATCACAATGATGTGTATTTCGTGACCATGACACAGGTCATCCAATGGATGCAAAATCCACGCACCATCAGTGAAGCCAAGAACTTCGAGCCATGGCGGGAGAAGTGCGTTGTCGAAGGCAAGCCAGCCTGCTGGGTGCCTAGTACTTGCAAGCTGACCTCCAAGGAAATTCCCGGCGAGACCGTCAACCTACAGACTTGTGTGCGATGCCCGAACAACTACCCATGGGTGAATGATCCAACCGGTGATGGTTTCTTCTAAGTCAGCGCGCTCACCTGTAATGGCACAACTGCAGTTTTTTTGTTATTTTTTTTTTTTTGTTTAAGTGTTCTAACTTGGCAAAAAGGAGTTGTGCTCTAGCTAGTAATAGTAACTCCTCTCTTTAAAACTACTGCCTACTACACTAATCTCTTTTATTTAAATTTTTTATTTTCTTTCTTTTTCTTTTTCCCCTATTTCCGCTTTCAATTTCTCATTTTCTTATCATTTGTAAATATATTTTTACCGTTAACTGCCGCACACAGTAAACTAAGTTAAATCCGAAACTAGTTTTACGGTTTTCAACAGTGCCACTCTGCTACTCTCCAATCTCCACTTTATTCCTATTCACTTTTTTACCCTTTCAACTGAATCTACATCTCTCTCATTCCATTATCTTTGCTCTAATTATGCAAGACTTTTATTATTTGACTGACCTTCGAGCTGTCAAGTAATTATTGGCAACTACTTACTTACACCTTTCGATATAATGTACTCCGTATTTGGGCCACATAAAATAATTTGGCGCTCAAGGTCGTTGCTGTGTTAATTTTAAAGTTACGTAAATCGAACAAAATACTATGTACACACAAGAAAAAGTAAACACGAAGGAACACAATAAGAAGAAAGAAAGAAAGAAGAAGATGTAGCAGAAAAAAAATATCCACTTATGTTATCTCAAACTTTCGATAAATACTCATTTAGCACCACACACACACTCACACACAAAATGTTAGGGAGAAAAGATGAGACACAAAGGCGTTAATGCGAAAATGTTTAATTTGTAGTATGTTTTATTGTACGTATATTTAAATATTTTTTATTACATAATTTTTAATGTATGTGAAACTTTCCTTCAATATCATTCAAGTATGTTGATTAATTGATTGATATAAAGATTTGTGAAGAAAATAAATAAAACAAATAAAGAAAAAACTATAAATAAAAAACTGTGTTTTTCTACGAAATGCGGAAGGTTTAATGGTACTCCATTTTTTTAATTTCACAATAAATCAAATTAGAAATTTTTGGTGTTTTTTCTAAGTGAGCCATGAAAAGGATAATGAAATGCAGCAGTCACTAAAAAAAACATTTCAAAGTAAAAAACTAAGAGTGAAACTTCGCCTTAATCCTAACCTTATATTTATCTTAATCTCCATCTTCATCTTTGTCCTTATCCATATCTGTATCTTTATATTTAGCTTTATCTTCATCTTAGTTAGTCTTAATAGTTTATGATTTCAAAATATAAAAATAGGTGTATACTTTCTTCGATATAGAACAATCCTAGGGGGTGAGAGCATTACAATTCCGACTTTACTGTTTTCGGACCACCCTAAGGTACATACTTACACAAAATACCTTCACCGTGGCGCTAAATTTTTAACGCAAACATCTCTGAACTCGCTTCAAAAAATTTTATTTGAAAACAGGGCAACGGTTGCATGAAATTCAAAAACTTCCCAAAAAAATAAAGTTCACAAAACAAATAAGAAAACCCATAGTACTCTTTCTTTGAAATTTAAATGTTGGGATCCTTCGTACAGCGTTTTGCGTGAATTTTATTTCAAATGCATAAGATAGTTAAATTACTATTCACTCCGTCTCGTTACTTCCATTATAACCCAGGCATATAACATATATACGTAGAACGGGAGTAGGTCGATGACAGATATAAAACTCTAGAGGGAGGTGAACAATTTCTTTTGTCATGCAAATCCAACAAACGGCGTGCAGTTGTAATTACTGCTAGAGGTGGTCAGAGGTATTTTATTGACAATAATCGGTCGTAGAATATGCGGTGGAATTCTTGACTTTTGGGGACAAAAATTTGCTTCCGTAATTTCGATGCCCTGATTAATCGCACGGCTTCTCTCATTCCATGACTAAAGATATCATCGCGAAGCTTGGGCAAATGGGCTCCCTACACTTGATTCAAGATACTTACACTGGTACACAGACGGTTTAAGAATGGAGGATGGAGGAGGCGCAGCTATTTTTGAACCTAGCACTAAACAATTCTCGGAAATGGCACACGGCGCTTCAGACTGAAAAAGTCGCAATTTTAAACTTCTCAAAAGTAAACACTGAAAATGGTTTGAAGGGAGTCTTTCTGGTTATCTTTTCAAACAGAACTATGAAACCCAATGTGACTGGAGGCTGCCTTGACACGCTACAAATTATGGCAGCCCGAAACACAGTAACACTGTGCTGTGTACCAGGCCATTGTGGCATCGAAGGCAATGAGATCGCCGACGAGTTGGCACGAGAAGGATCGATAACTGCGTTTTCGGGACCTGAACCATTCTGCGGTCTCAGTTGGTGTTCTTCGAGAGCCATTAATACTAAGTGGGTATACTCAGAATGCGGTGTGTACTGGGGAGTGGTGGGGGCCATAGACAAACCAGGCTCTTCGGCTACCCGTTCAGCATAAAGGATATTATTTTAGAAAATATAAATGGCATCAGGCTACTTTCTGGGTGCCTGACTGGTCACAACCGGATTGCGATTCCACTTGTGATCTGTGTCTATGTGATCGCAGATTCGGAATGCCGGTCCTGCCTTGAGGATGTTGAAACTTCAGAGCAACTTTGGCCAGACAAAGACTGATCCATTTTAAATCTTCAATGGTCGAACACTTTGCTACACAGAATTCGCCTAGCAAGGCCCTTTCGGGATTCATTTGGGAAGCCGAAGGTATCGGGTTAGGGACTCTCTTTTACAGAGATACAAAAAAACCTCTCAGGTCGAGGTGTCACTTGTTCTGTTACACCCAAAAAGTAACTAACTAGCTAACTACATGAATCATCATTAACAATAATTTGTGGCGCGCGCCATTGCTGTTGTCACAGAAAGAGGAGGAAGCTACAGTTTTACGCCGACTCTCCACGACGATTGTATTTTTATGAGAAGCTGATTTCATAGTAGAAATACGCTCGGAGGTTTACTATTGCCTGCCGAGGGGGGACCGCTATTAGAAACAACTTTTTCTTTTCTTTTTTTGATGTTAGTCAGAACTTGGGCTTGAAGCCAGGACCTACGGAATGGAAGCGCGTACTGCCAACCCCCACACCACAGCGGCCGCCAATCATTAGATAATGCCACTAGACCGAATTTTCTTCGATCGATTTGTTAACCAAGATCCCATTCAGCGTTAGATTGATACTTGATAGAATTTTCCATAATTAAAATCTTTGTTTACAAAGTCCGGACATCTTCAGGACAAACAACACCAGCCTACAATAAGTATAAATTCCTAGATGGAATTCATGTACAAACATACATACTGATTTTTGACGAAAAGTATATGTACTTGACATTGGCTCCTCCTTACGTTTTAAAAAAGGTCTGAAAAAAAGTTTCTCGGAATTTCTGTATGGTGATTTCCCAGAACGAACGTTACCTTGGGCTCTTGTATAAATTTGTTTTCTTATCAAACAAACGAAACCCAACCATAATGAGCATATCTACAAAATAATCATATTTTTTATGGATTTAGTCAAAAAAAAAAAAACAAAAAACATTTAAAACAAGAAATTTTTCTTAGCTTTAAAAATGTCTAAAAACAAGCCACATGCGATAGACATAAAAACTAAATTCCCACGTCATAACTTGATTGCTTTAATTTGTGCGCACGTTTCCAATAAAATGTCAACAATAACAATAACAATATAACCAGCCAAAAAACTTTAGAACCATATAATTAAATATTGCAAAATATACCATAAATTTATAACAACTTGATTTTATGTATAGCATAATGAAAGTGAAGACAAATCTAATTAACATATGAACGGCATTAGCATTTTTAATTTGTTATCTAAGGACATCAACAGCAAACAGCATTCGAAGATACTCAAGAAGCAGGTTAATTTTTAGCCACCCTGCAGGTATAATATCAAGATGCTTCAAAAGAATTTTGGTTATGCATAATGTGCGTGTACTAGGAATGTTAGTCCTGGTTTCCCGGCCTTTTTAAGGTCCCAAAAATCCCGGGATTTTCGGGATTCGTTATTTGCACTGACGGCATTAATAGAAACTCCTTTTCTTGTCCAGTATTGCCCCTAATTCTTTTTTTATTTACTAACTAAATTTTTTTTATAAATGTCTAGCTCATTATACATATAACACCGCGCGATTGTAAATTTTAAACACAAATATCAATATATTTACGAAACCATGGGCCAAATAGAGTAAAATTGCGTTTTTAGTTTTTCACTCTGACGTCAGTAATTCAAACATGATTTAAAAAATTCAGAGAAATGTGCTTAGAGAAGAAGTATGGGTATCAAATTAAAAAAGAAAGCCTGTAGAATTTAAACAAATTCAAATTTTTGGTGCAGACGGTCTGGTAAGTATTTAAAATGTTCTTTTAAAATTTTATCCTTGAAAACATATATATATACATCAACATATGCATTACGACGAATCAATTTTGTTTTACTATGCGCCTGCAGCAAAGGAGGATTCTACGTATAATTCTAAGCAAATTTTCCAAAGAAAGCAGAGGTCTAAAATCAATCTGGGGTTTGCCAAATTTGCAAATTGTGCACAAGTGCGCTCGGGTATCAAAAACGGTGGAAACCGGTTTGGAAAAACCGAGTCAATCACCCTAGTATGTACATATGTCATTCCTCTATTAGTTTAGCACCGTCTCCTTTTATGGTGAAACTCGCACTTGGACTAATACCTGTACTTAAAAATTGTTCTTTGAAACTAGAGTTGTGGTTTATTTAGCTAGGGAAGCTCCTTAGACGGCTTTTTTTTGTACTTGTGTGCTGACCTAGTCACCTTGTATACAAAATTTTCACATTCTTGACGACTAATATTTTTGCGGGCGTCCGATAAGCTGCTTCTCTTGCGGCAGCTAGAAAGGCATTGCTTCAGAAACCCCCCTTAGCCTTAACGCAACGCGGAGAGTGTCTGGGAATACCCCCAAGTTTCCCACTAACTCAAAATTTGGCACTCTCACCTTTTTCTTGGCCAACGGATCCTTATATTTTGGGTACCACCAAACAAGAAAACCATAAATAACACTCAGTTACCTTGGGAAATATCGTTGCTAAATATTTAAGTCATAAGTGCATTGAATCCACAAAATATTTAAGGGCTGATTTCTTCAACTCAGCTTAACTTAGTTTACCCATTTTTTGAACATAAGTCAAAAGTAAGCCTACTTTTTACACAGCTTATTCTTGACTAAGTCTAAAAAATTGGCTAAACTATTTAAGTCAAGTTGAGTTGGAGAAACTACCTTAGAGCTGAAATACTGACTTTTTCTTTGCAATTTTTTTTAAACTTTTGGATTTGCTAATTTTGTAACCATTTACGATTTCCTATGGGCATTACCGAAAAACAAATTTGGGTAATAATGTGCTGGGAACCATAAAAAATCATTAACAAGTTCCCTTTTTATTTCATTTTTTTTTCAGTTAATTTGCGCTGCAAATAGCTATTCCGTAAATTTACAAAACACCAAACCAGACAAATTAGGCAAATATTTCTTCGCATGTTAACCGTTGCATGCTCCTAATTATGGATTACCATAAAAACCTACTAACTTACTAACCAGTTTCATTCTTTCGTATATTTTTATAAATCAAAGTTTTCCAGTCTTCAAATCCTCTTTAAATTTTAATAATGCATATTCATGTACATTTAGATGCTTGTTAGTGTGTGTGTGCGCGCCAATATAAAATTCCCTGCAGGGAAAGCTATTTACTAGTAGTGAACTAGAACTCTACCAGTTTGCGTTTCAGCCCAACTAGTTCACTTTCTATTCCTTTTCAATATTAGCTACTGGTATTTTTGACATGGCAATGTTCTACG